GGCTGTCAGACCAAGAAGTCAGTAGATGGATTGGTCTGGCAGCATGAGCCATGAACTCAATCAACAAGAGCATTTGGAGGTGTTGGTACCTATGCAGAAGTGTCTTCAAGGCCTTGATAAAACTAGTTTTGCTCTATGAAAGCAAAACATGGACACTATCTAGCGCCTTGGAGTCTCATCTTGATGCCTTTTGTAACAAGTCTCTTCGCTGGATCATGGGGTACAGTTGGCAGGACCACATGTCCAACTGGCGGCTACACTGTGAGACTGACATGAGACCTGTTACTTGCATAATCTGCGGTCACCAACTCACGTTACATGGGCACCTAGCTTGTTTCCCTATGGATGACCCTGCCCAACAGGTTGTCTCAAGAAAATCCTGGGTGGAGGAGGCCTGTGGGACGACCTAGAAGGTCATGGCTTGGGCAGCTCGATGAGACCTGTTGGAAGGAGTTAGAGCCGAGTGGCTGCCTGGAGACTTGCCATGAGAGGCCCTTGTGGCTGGAAGTGAAGGGTGCATGTGGCCATAGGCACCCGTCGATGTTAGCCCCTTGATGATGATGATATATATATACATATATGTATATATATATATATATATATATATATGTATATATATATATATATATATATATATATATATATATATATGTATATATATATATATATATGTATATATATATATATATATATATATATATATATATATATATATATATATATATATATATATATATTATATATATGTATATATATATATATGTATATATATATATATATATATGTATATATATATATATATATATATATATATATATATATATATGTATATATATATATATATATGTATATATATATATATATATATATATATATATATATATATATATGTATATATGTATATATATATATGTATATATGTATATATGTATATATGTATATATGTATATATATATATTGAGTACATATATTTATATCTATATATATATATATATAATATATATATATATATATTTATATTTATACACACACACACACAACACACACACACACACACACACACACAACACACACACACACCACACACACACACACACACACAACACACACACACACACACACACACTTATATACATATGTGCTTGTACATACACTCATATATATTTTTATATATATATATATAATATATATATATATATATATATATATATATATATATATATATATATGTATATAATATATATATATGTATATATGTATATATATATATTGAGTACATATATTTATATCTATATATATATATATATATATGTATATATGTATATATATATATATATATATATGTATATATGTATATATATATATTGAGTACATATATTTATATCTATATATATACATACCTATCAGGGTTAGGTCCAAGTACAGGCAACTGTACTTAAGTCCAAGTACCTGGATATTTTTCAAGTACAAGTACAAGCAAAGTCACTTTGCTATGTACTTAAGTCCAAGTCCAATTAGTTTTGTAAGGACAAAAGTTTTTGTATTTATACATTAATGGATATGCTGTTCAAATGTGGGATTCGATATAGAAAAGTATATAGAAATTCAACATTTGTTTTAGCACATCACTTCTTTTATTACAGAATTGCAAAACAGGAACATGTATTTTATGAATAACTTGAAAAAATAATATTCCTTATACTGTAAATGCACAAGGCTATCCATATATTTCTAACATGACTAAATTTGATGCAGAAAATTAAGATATCATGGCATTAAAACTTGACCCTTGTTCTATATTAATAATATTGTTTTACAACTAAAGATAGTAGATATTCAGTCAATTTTATTGAATATATATTTATTCTTCATGTGACTCATTGTGCAACTTTTTTGTTTAATTTTCCATTTGAGACTCTTTCTATAGACAAAAGTAATCATATAATTACTTCATAAAATATAAATGCATAAAAAAAAAAAAAAAAAATTGTGGCATATGAAATTTAAAAACTTTATAAATATCACACTTTCCAAGTTTTTGTCAGTAAGACTAAATTTGTCAGGCTAAATCACTTTTCCAGCAATGCTGAAAAGCCTTTCAACGGGAAAAGATGCAGGTTCAGGCAAATAAATCTGAGCCATCTTAACCCAATGGTGCTGGGTGAAGAAAACGAAAAAAAAAACTCTACACTCTGGCAAACAAAGGCGGTGCGTCGACTTGGAGTGCGTTAGTAGGGTACATCAGCCCGAATCACTGGCTCGCCGTGCTTTGGCGCGCCGCCGCACGCCAGCTTTTGAGCGGTTTGTTTTCACGCCTATCGGCGTCACCCGGCGTTAGGGGGTTAAATAAAGCAGACAGAGTGTATCTTTGTTATTTCTAAAATACCAACACATCAGCATCATCTGCCTTACAAAGCTGCCTCAGATAACAGTTGATCTGAGTGCTGATTGACCTCACCTTTTCACTTGTGGATGTTGACTCCTGTGTATGATATACATGAAACTGAATAACCACTTCCTCTTCGAAAGGAAAGATTTGGAATATTCTTCCAGCACAAGCTCCTTCGATTCTTGTATATCTTCACCAGGATTTTGCTTAACTTCTTTGGGTTGTGCTGCTTTTGCTAACCGAGTCTTTCTGAGCTTCATTTCTTCTTCATTTTTGCGCAGATTGAGCGTAAACTGTGGGCCTAGAATTGTGCCAGCACATAAACTCTTCTCTCCTCATTGTGCATCAAATGTTTCTTTACACATTTCATAAGTCCTGTCACCAACATAGAGTTATACCTGGATTTCATATAATTTAGATGAAATTTGAGGTCCTTAATGCAAGGTATGACCAGACTTGCAGAAACAATGGTTTGCTTCTGTGCATAATTTCTCAAAGATTTTTAGCATGTCTTCAAGTACATCATGATCATATACACAAGGTTGGTACACCATCTATAATTCTTAATTTTTGTTCAGGATTACTCAACACTGATCTGATCATTTTCACTAGGAATTCCATTGTGTAGCACAAACAGAATCCATTTTTTCTCACCTTCCAAAACATCGGCAGCAATGGTAGATTTGTGTACAATAGACTTTGAGGCTTTACTGAGAACCAAGTTTAGTTGCCCTGCTTCTTGTAGACCATCCTTTACCACAAAGCAGTGAATTGTGCTCTATTGGCAGAACTTCCTATACACCATTTTTCTCAACCATACTCTCAACATCCAGATCCACTTCTTCTAATTCATCTTCATAATCAAAACGAGTCCATATCATTGTCAAAAATATATGAGAAGCCAGGAAGGGAAACTGCTGATATCATATTTGTAGCATTGTTTGTTATGATGTTTGTGATTTTTGATTGTATGTCAAAGGTTGTACGGTTTCTTCATGCTCTTCCATAATGTGTGCTGTGTGTCAGCCACAGAAGTACTTGCAGGCCAGAATGGCTGTTTTACAAGGACCTGTCAAGGCTGAGATGAGCAGTAATTCCTAAGTAAGATCTCATCTGCCTGCTAGACCAAATGTCAAGTGTGAGGTTATTAGTATGTGCACATTCAAGTTGTGCTTTCACAGAATATCTAACTTCAATACACTTATCTTGCAGTAGTTTGTTCACCAGGTGCTTCTGAGTCTGTATCTGGTACCGCGGATCAGCAGACAGCGTCAGATCATGGAAGTAAGAGCTCTCTACCACAGAAAACGGAACAAGGTCATTTGCAACAAAGAGGACAAGTGCATTATTGAGTTGCTTTTGTCTAACATCATGAGGTGAATATTTCTTTGGATGATTGATAAATCCATCCAGAGTTGATTGGCTGCAGTTGTTGGTCTCCCCAGGGCTGTGACTTGTGCATGCTCCTCATACACCTCGATGATTTTTCTCTAAAAAGAAATAATATAAATATAATATACTGAAAGCATTATGCATATAGTCACCTATATAGAGGAAAACAGAACTGTTGGGTCGGTGATTACTATTATGTTATAGTTAACTTAAATGTCACATTGACATTACAAAATTACAAAATACTGAGTGGGCGAGATGTATTGCTACCAGTCCCCAGCTTTCCATTTTCTACACAGCCATAATTCTCCCGGTGTTACTCAAAATGAGTAACACTGGGAGAATAACAAAGCAAGTAACAAAAACAGATAACTTGATAAGAAAAAAATGCCTAAAGGTCATTTGAGGGATAAAGGGTTCAATCTTAACCCATTGCCGCCGGGGATGGCATGTATGTACATGCCATGCCCACTCTGAGTTGACTTGTTTGATTGTTTTTACACATAGATGGCTACACTTGTACTAAGTATTCAATGAGCCAATTGCGAGTACTGCCTGTCTGGAACGTTCACCCTCTTCATCGATTTACGAAAATATTTAACGTTATCCTAATTTGCTGTTAGAAATAACACCATCTAAATTTATAGCACTAGTTAGAATACATTTTTTATGGCCAATTCAAGGAAAGGTGAAATCAGGACTAACAGAGCCATCTATGGACAGAGATATTTCACAAAAATATAAAAAATGAGTACTGCATTTTCCCCATTTTTTGTTCATTTTCCCCAGCGGCAATGGGTTAACACAGAGTATTCATTTTAAGGAGAGGGATAGAAGAGCAAAGGGAGGGGCTGCTCTCCATCTTCCCATAGAATATACCAATTAACCACACTTAGGGTAATTTGTAGATTGTGAACCCTTACATAACACTAAAAAAATTAAGCCTTAACTTCAAATGTTTGTGTAGGTTGGAAGTTACATCCTTGGAGCAAGAGAGTTACACTTTTCAATGCTTACACTCTGCCTAAAAATTCCTAGGTCCCCAATCAACACCCCTGGTGTGTGTGTGTATGTATGAGTACTCATATCAAGTCACATGAGAAGTGATGATTTATGTAGCCTTAAATTAGGTTTATTGAAGAGTGCAGCTTTTGAATTGTGATATTTGATCATACTGGAAATAAAAACCTTGTAAAATTTGATTTTTTCTGTACTGCAGGTAGCAACGATAGTTTCAAACATGAATCCAGGAATCAATGCCACAACAGACTCTGAGGAGGTGATGCTCCTTCAGCAAGCTCTTCTCTGGTCTCTCTATGATGCAGGACACCTTGCCAAATACCCTATGGCAATAG